ACATCTGTTCTACTCACCTCTGGGATGTAGTGTGTGAGCATGTTCTCGACCCCGCTCTTTAGAGTCACAGAGGAGCTCGGGCAGCCACTGCAGGCGCCCTTCATGCGCAGATACACGATTCCCGTGGCTCTGAGGGGTGGGTGGTACGCAAGGTGACGTGGACGTGGGATCATGCTTGGCTAAGAACCCATGGTGACGTATAAAAACTACGCTTGGGTGGGCACTGGAAGAACCCATGGTGCCTTGCCTACCCAAGCGTACAGCTGCTGAAGACACAATCAAATTGGCCCTGGTGGTTGATAAGTGGGAGACACAGGTTTGAGGTTTACGTACAGAAAGGCACTGCAAGAGGGTGATGCGCCAAGCGGATGACGTGGCAAGCGGATGGCGTGGCAAGAGAGTGACATGGCAAGAGGTTGACATGAAGAGCTCACTCGTCAAAGTCAACCCAGATCAAACTCACTCGTCAAAGTCAACCAAGTCAAACTCACTCGTCAAAGTCAACAAAGTCAAACTCACTCGTCAAAGTCAACAAAGTCAATGTCCCCTCCGTCCTCCTGCACTGCCGGTCGAATGCGCGTCTCCAGCAGCTCCCTTATCATCAGCACGGTTTCGCTCTCGTCCTGATGGGGCAAGATGGGAGACGTGAGTTCAAATGGGGAAAAAGAGGGGGACCAGAGGAGAGACGGGTTGAACGCGCGTTTTCAGCAGCTCCCATGTCATCAGCACCGTCTCGCTCTCGTCCTGAAGGGAGTGGCGAAGGGGGGAGAGGGGAACACGGGGAGGGGAAAGGGGGGTAAAGGACGGAGGGAGAATGGTTGGAGCCGAATGCACGTTTCCAGGAGCTCCCATGCCATCAGCACCGTCTCGCTTTCGTCCTGACGGGAGTGGCGGAGGTGGGGGGGCGGAACAAGGAGAGGGGAAAAGGGGAAAAAGACAGGGAGAATGGCAGGGAACGGGTTGGAGTCAAATACGTGTCTCCAGCAACTCCCTTATCATCAGAACCATCTCGCTCTCATCCTGAAGGGCAAGAAGTGATTCGTAAGGGGTGGTGAAGGGGAGAGGACAGAGGGGAGACTGGCTGGGAGCGGGTTGGGTTTGAATTTTGAAGCACTCTCCAGCAACTCCCTTATCATCAGCACCGTCTCACTCTCGCCCTGATGCAAACCAAGGGGGAAGGAGTGAAGTAGGGAAGGGGGCAATTTCAGGTCTTGTATTCTATCCTCAACACCATTTCACTTCCGCTCTCTTCGTAAGTTGTTGCTCGTCGTCGCCCCACATCTAGTTCGTTATGAGACGTCTCAAAACAGGTCGCCCCACATCTAGTTCGTTTTGAGACGTCTCACAACACGTCGCCCCATATCTAGTTCGTTTTGAGACGTCTCACAACACGTCGCCCCACATCTAGTTCGTTATGAGACGTCTCAAAACACGTCGCCCCACATCTAGTTCGTTTTGAGACGTCTCACAACACGTCGCCCCACATCTAGTTCGTTTTGAGACGTCTCACAACACGTCGCCCCACATCTAGTTCGTTTTGAGACGTCTCAAAACACGTCGCCCCACATCTAGTTCGTTTTGAGACGTCTCACAACACGTCGCCCCACATCTAGTTCGTTTTGAGACGTCTCACAACACGTCGCCCCACATCTAGTTCGTTTTGAGACGTCTCAAAACACGTCGCCCCACATCTAGTTCGTTTTGAGACGTCTCACAACACGTCGCCCCACAACACATCTGATCGACATCTGATTCAACCCACAATTGATTCTACCATTCGCCACTGCACCCAAACTTATCATACCACTATTGCACGCACCCCTTCTCACATACCGTTTTGCCACTACATCTCAACTCATCTTCCCGTTGTTGCCATTGCAACTGTGCAACGTTTTGTGGGGAATTCCCAAATAAAACCCTGCAGCCTCAAGAAAACTCCGCGCTCCTTGCAACACCTGTGGGGGCCCCCAGAAACACCTGTGGGGGCCCCCAGAAACACCTGTGGGGGCCCCCAGAAACACCTGTGGGGGCCCCAGAAACACCTGTGCCCCCCCCCCCATCATACCTCCCCAGTGTAGAGTGTGCCCCAGAAACACACTACACCTCTCTACTTCTAATACTCCCCACCCCACCTCACCACTCCCCACACGCTCCACCACTCTCCCCCCCCCCCACCACTCTCCCCACCCCACCTCTGCCGGTTGTTGCTCCCCACTAGCTGCTGCCGCCTCTGCCTGGGGGTTCAGCACTTCACATCTCCACCTCACCTGCCTACTGCTGTTATTCCCCCCCCCCCCCCCCCGACTCTACCACACCTCACCTTCTCTACTCCCATCACTCCCCCCATCACTCCCCCTATCCCACCACTCCCCCCCACCCCACCTCTGCCGGTTGTTGCTCCCCGCCAGCTGCTGCCGCCTCTGCCTGGGGGTTCAGCACCGGCTGCCCGGAAGCAAAAAAGTCCATCAGGGCAGCGAAAATTTCTGGCTTGAGGAGATCCCAGGAGCTCTCCTCCGTTTTAGTCACAGTCACAAAGTCACCCCCCAGGAACACCCGAGCTACACCTGTGGACAAGGGCGGTGGAAGGATGGTGGTTGGTGGAGGGATGGTGAAGCAATTCTGGACGGCACTGATGGAAGCGGGATTCTGGGATTGGTCACAAGTCACAAAGCCACCCCCCAGGAACACCCGAGCTACACCTGTGGACAAGGGCGGTGGAGGGATGGTGCGGAGGATGGTGTGGCGGGATGGTGGAGGAGGGATGGGTGCGGTTGGGCATCGAAAAAAAAATAAAATCGCTTACCATCAATGCGGAACAGTGCAATGGCAAGTGGAGATGCTAGGGCAGCTCGGGCAGAAGAAAACTCGATGGATGATGGAGAAGGCGGATGATCCTCCAATGACGAGGAGGTGGAGGGAGAGGAGGAGGTGGGGGGAGGAGGGAAGGAGAGGATGGGCCGGCCAGGGTTGAACATGAGTGAGGCAGGGTTGGGAGTGGTGAGGGTTTGAATGAACATGGACCGCCGTTGCTGGTGCTGATGTGGCAGCACATGTTGCTGGACAGGGTGATTGCGGTGGTGGTAGTGCAAGGAACGCTGCTGGTGAGAGTGGTGTTGGTGCAGATGCTTAGTTAAGTGGTGGGGTTGTTGATGGTGCAGGGACAAGAGGCGATGCAGGCAACGCAGAGAGGAGCCAGCGGTGGTGGTGGTGGCAGTGGCAGTGGTGGCAGCAGTGGTGGCAATGGTGGTATTGGTGGTGGATGTGGCAATGGTGGTATTGGTGGTGGATGTGGCAATGGTGGTATTGGTGGTGGAAGTGGCAAGGGTAGTGGTGGTGGTGTTGGTGGTGGGGGTGGGTGCAGCAGCCGCATCACAGGGGAAGAAAGAGCAGGCCACAGCATGTGACGCGGACAAGGAGGCAGCAGGAGCAGAGGGAGCGGCAATCCCAAGGGTGTGAGGCGGCGCGAGCAGCCTCCATGCGCTCAACTGTTGAGAGGGCAACACAGATGGAAGCGGAGCAAGGTAGAGCAGAGGAGAGCAGAGGAGAAGAGAGTAGAGCAGAGCAGAGCAGCACGGATGAGACGAGTGAAATCACACGGGAGGAGTGGGTGGAACAAAAGGATGGGCTTTGAGAAGCGCTTCAAATCAAGCCGAGTGGATTGGGCCAATGGGAAGGGCGTAGCTGAAATGAAACGAATCGATCAGATCAGATCCTGCAAGATGATCTAATCCGATCCAAGACGAATCAACTGATGGAGCAGCTTGCACTTGCCATGCAGGCCACAACGACTGCGATCAGGCAGAGCATCGGGAAATACGCTGCAGCAGACAGCTTCTGAACTGTTATGAGCGATCTCAGGAATATCTTTGCGAAACTCGTTCTAGTAAATATGAGCGAGCCCTTGCCGATTGACATGACTGACTTGGTTTGAATTGAGCTTACAGCTTTCCTCGGCGACATGTCGGAGCAGCGATCGACAGCCTGACTGCTATGGGCTCAGTCTTTATGGCAGGCAGACGACGCTGTTGTTGATTCTTTTCCGTTTCCCCTTTTCCTTTTCGGATCGTAGGCTCGACGAATAGGACTTTACGGCGACGGGAGGACCCGATCTCTACGCGCTGCAACTGGCTTAGTCGACTGAACGATCCTCTGAAACGAGAGCGGAGCGCGGGCGGAGACGGAGCGGAGGAGCGGAGGGTCGAGTGGAAGGGAAAGGAAGCATCGAACGAACTTGAGGGGGACGTGGGGTGGCGGAAAAAGGGCGTGGCTCGAACAAAGTGATACAGTCCGGTCTGCACACATGGTTGCACTTCTCCGCTTGTTTGGAGATCGACGATACATTCATGTTACGGCTTTGAAGGAGAGACATTGGAACAACGAGTGTTTTCTGCTACAGTAAATATCATAAAAATTACGAGCCAAGATCGTTACATCCCTTTTCCGAACACAGCCTTGATTTTGTTCATTTCCTGTGTGCTCCATTCAGTGTGTACGCACATTTCTCCTAAATCCGGATTTCAGGTTCCAGTTTCCACCATCTTTCCGATCCTTATAGACTCACTCCCGAATCGCATCAGCGTGTCGCTTTCACGTGAGCCAATTTCGAAAACTGCGTGAAATTCTTCTCTGCTGAGCTCCCGTCTAACACGCAGCTCAGCGATCCCAGTAGCTCTCCCCGTTCGTTTGTCTCCGGGCTGCGAATTTGTGACGGTTACGTTGCAGATCCATCAGCAACGGCGAAGCGCGAATAAAAAGGCATAAGCACGAAAAAAGGGGGGCCTCGTTTCGCATCCAGTTCTTTGCCGATTCGGAACGCTACGATTCAGATCGGACTGAGTGTAGAGACGACTCAAAAGTCACGCCGGACATCAGGAAAATACTGAGGCAGTCGATTCTTGTGGCTCCTCAAAAGGCGGAGCCAGGACCAGACGATTATTCAGGCGCCTGAAGAGGCGGAGCCGGTAGCAGTAGTAGTCGAGGGAAGGTATTTAGGAGCGGCCATGGCCCACCCGGGTCAGTGCAAGGACGAGGCATCGGGACTTGAGAAGGTGGTTCTCCGACAGGCTGGCGGCGCGACAGCGGAGGTAAAGCACACCGCAGTCCCGCAATGACAGCCTCGTCACGTCAATTGACGGCGTACGAGGAATTTCGGAGGATTTAGCGTAGCTTCGTAGTTTCGCGGTTTAGAAAGCCTGTCAAATCTCGGTATAAAACGCACAGTGAAGGGGGTTCGCGGTGTCGCTACGTGGTGTCAATACTTACACGGAAGTTCGCATCGTTGTTTCCGAGCTTGGCTTCACGGTTTCCATTGACAAATAGGCCGGCGTTTCGTTTTCAACAATCTCGTCATTTCACGGCGTGCCAGGAATCTGGGAGGATTTAGCTTGGCTTGGAAAAATTTCTTGTCGATTTTTCAATCCTTCATGTCAATGTTAATAAGCATGCCTATCCGTTCCTTCCGCCTTTTACGCAACTCAATCTTACCCTCTTAATTTAGTGATTTCTCAGGTCCACCTAATCTGCGTGCACGAATTCATGTGGTAACCCTGTAACGTCAGGTGTTTTTCCATGGCGGGCACGTCACCTCGTGGAAGCACGACGGCAAGGAGGAGAACCTCTTTATGAGCAGCAAGGTCAGAATGCTTCGAGACATCTCATGCTCTCACACATCTGAAAACCCAGAGAGACTTTTGATGCGTCGCAATACCAGAGGGCGATATCGAGCTTGTTTTACGAGCTGCGAGGTGAAAGTGCCCACTGCATAACATGCCAGTTGCATTTTCTTGAAGGGTATTGCAGGTGGACAAGGTACCAACTAGTTTGGATGTAATTCAGACCTGAGTTAGGTGATGGGTCTGATACCGGCTTATTTGGGCGTTTTAACTGGTCTAGTTTGTTGATCTCAATATTTCATACATGCTATGCCCAAGTGGCCTCTCTCTATGCCCCCACCTTCCTCTCACGCATACGATCCTGGCTCCCTCTCGCGCACACCTGCATACGCACTCCCATACACAGTATTCCTTGATACTCATGCTCTGCCCACACATGCGCATCCCCTGCCATGTCTGCACTGCAAGCAGGCGATTTTCAAGCCATTTAAGGCAATCCGGGCGGCATCGCGGTGATCTTTCTCTGTGCTCCCACCTCCCTCTCACATATCTCTTCCGCACCCCCTCTCGCTCTCCCTTTCACACCCGTGCTCATCCGTTGTACAGGCCATCTTCAAGCCACCCAAGGCGATCCGAGGCGGCATCCCAGTGTGCTTCCCTCAGGTGCGCTTAGCTGCTCACCAAATCTCCAGCTTTCCAGTTCAGCAGCTCGCCAACTCGCCTTCTCGCGAGCTGAACAACTCACCAGCTCAGCAGCTCACCAGCTCAGCAGCTCAGCAGCTCATCAGCTCGCCAGCTCAGCAGTTAACCAGCTCAGCAGCTCGCCAGCTCACCTCTCCACCGCCTCCTCATGCTGGCTCATGTGTTTTTCCATCTACTGCTGACTCCTCTTCCTCTTATCTCCGGTTCTTCATGTGCTGTCCGTTCCTCGAGTCGAGTCGTTCTTGCTGCGCCAGTGTCTCATTGAATATGCGTTTCATTCAGGCCAAGACCGTGTGGCACCTTCCTTGCAATTTCCCCCCTGCCCACTCTCCCTCCCTCCCTCCCCTCCCTCCCCTCCCTCCCTCCCTCCCTCCCTCCCTCCCTCCCTCCCTCCCTCCCTCCCTCCCTCCCTCCCTCCCTCCCTCCCTCCCTCCCTCCCTCCCTCCCTCCCTCCCCCCCCCCCCTCCCTCCCTTGCTACCTCGCTCCCTCCCTCCCTCCTCCGTCAATCCCTCCCTCCCTCCTTCCCTCCCTGCCCACTCTCCCTCCCTCCCTCCCTCCCTCCTCCCTCCCTCCCTCCCTCCCTCCCTCCCTCCCTCCCTCCCTCCCTCCCTCCCTCCCTCCCTCTCTCCCTCCCTCCCTCTCTCCCTCCGTCCGCCCCTCCGTCGTCCTCGTTTCCCCCTCCCCCCTCCTCCTTCCTCGCCGTGCCCCCCATCTTTCCTTCCCCTGTTGCAGTTCGGCCCGATGGGACCGTTGGATCAGCACGGCTATGCCAGGAATAGATCCTGGTCGTTGGATCCCGCATCTCCCAACACGGACCCCGCCTCCCTTGATCTGCTCCTCACGCCCTCCCCTGAAGACCTGCGCATCTGGCCGCACAGGTGGGTGGGGTATGATATATGAAGGCGGTATCACTCAGATGCACCTCCCCTCCCTCCCTCCCTCCCTCCCTCCCTCCCTCCCTCCCTCCCTCCCTCCCTCCCTCCCTCCCTCCTCTCCTCACGCCCTCCCCTGAAGTCCTGCGCATCTGGCCGCATAGGTGAGGGTGCTGATGGCGTGTGCATGCAGCGCTGGTGTGCTTGTAAGGTAAGCTGCAGCGCTGGTGTGCTTGTAAGGTAAGCTGCAGCGCTGGTGTGCTTGTAAGGTAAGCTGCAGCTCCCTTTTCTTTTTGCGAATGAAAGTCGCACTGGGGCGGGGGCGCGAGCTGCTGTCGTCCAAGCGAGTGCTCAACACCGCACCGACAGCAAGGCGCTCTTCCTCACCCCTTCGAGTGTGGTGCTCTCTTCATCCTCTCATTCCCTCCCGGTCCCCCTTTCTTCTTCCGGTGCAGCTTCGAGCTGCAAATGAAGGTGGCGCTGGGAAGAGGAGACGAGCTGCTGTCGTCCACGCGAGTGCTCAACCCCCTCAGCAAGGCGCTCTCCTTCACCGCTTAAGATGTTCTGCTTGCACCCATGCAATTCCCGTGTCTCCTCTTGAAGCTTTGAGTTGCGAATGAAGGTGGCGCTAGGCCGGGGAGGCGGGCTGCTGTCGTCCACGCGAGTGCTCAACCCCCTCAGCAAGGCACTCTTGAGTCGACTCAAATGTCAACACCGACAGCAAGGCACTCTTGAGTCGACTCAAAAGTCAACACCGACAGCAAGGCACTCTTGAGTCAACTCAAATGTCAACACCGACAGCAAGGCACTCTTGAGTCGACTCAAAAGTCAACACCGACAGCAAGGCACTCTTGAGTCGACTCCATGGGCGCTCTCCCTCACCCCTTTCAGTGTTCCCTGCATCATCTTCTCCCTCTCTCTCGCTCTCTCCTCCAAAGCAGCCTTTGAGCTGCTCTAATCCTTGTGCCTCCCGTACTTCTCTCTTCCATATCCTCTCCACCCTCCTTCCCTCCATCCAGCTTTGAGATTCGCATGAAGGTGGCGTTGGGAAGAGGAGGCGAGCTGCTGTCTTTCATGCGTGTTCTCAACACTGACAGCAAGGCGCTCTCCTTCACCACTTAAGATTTTCTGCTTGCACCCATGCATTTTCCATGTCTCCCCTTGAAGCTTTGAGCTGCGAATGAAGGTGGCATGGGGAAGAGGAGGCGAGCTGCTATCCTCCTTGCGTGTAACTTTTGAGTCGACTCAAGAGCTGCTATCCTCCTTGCGTGTAACTTTTGAGTCGACTCAAGAGCTGCTATCCTCCTTGCGTGTAACTTTTGAGTCGACTCAAGAGCTGCCATCCTCCTTGCGTGTAACTTTTGAGTCGACTCAAGAGCTGCCATCCTCCTTGCGTGTAACTTTTGAGTCGACTCAAGAGCTGCCATCCTCCTTGCGTGTAACTTTTGAGTCGACTCAAGAGCTGCCATCCTCCTTGCGTGTAACTTTTGAGTCGACTCAAGAGCTGCCATCCTCCTTGCGTGTAACTTTTGAGTCGACTCAAGAGCTGCTATCCTCCTTGCGTGTTACTTTTGAGTCGACTCAAGAGCTGCCATCCTCCTTGCGTGTAACTTTTGAGTCGACTCAAGAGCTGCCATCCTCCTTGCGTGTAACTTTTGAGTCGACTCAAGAGCTGCCATCCTCCTTGCGTGTAACTTTTGAGTCGACTCAAGAGCTGCCATCCTCCTTGCGTGTAACTTTTGAGCCGACTCAAGAGCTGCCATCCTCCTTGCGTGTAACTTTTGAGTCGACTCAAGAGCTGCTATCCTCCTTGCGTGTTACTTTTGAGTCGACTCAAGAGCTGCCATCCTCCTTGCGTGTAACTTTTGAGTCGACTCAAGAGCTGCCATCCTCCTTGCGTGTAACTTTTGAGTCGACTCAAGAGCTGCTATCCTCCTTGCGTGTTACTTTTGAGTCGACTCAAGAGCTGCCATCCTCCTTGCGTGTAACTTTTGAGTCGACTCAAGAGCTGCCATCCTCCTTGCGTGTAACTTTTGAGTCGACTCAAGAGCTGCCATCCTCCTTGCGTGTAACTTTTGAGTCGACTCAAGAGCTGCCATCCTCCTTGCGTGTAACTTTTGAGCCGACTCAAGAGCTGCCATCCTCCTTGCGTGTAACTTTTGAGTCGACTCAAGAGCTGCCATCATCGCCCCCACCCTTCTTCCCTCGGTGCAGCTTTGAGCTTCGAATGAAGGTGGCGCTGGGAAGAGGAGGCGAGCTGCTGTCATCCATGCGTGTGCTCAACACTGACAGCAAGGCACTCTCCTTCACCTGCGCCCTGCACACATACTTCCGCGTTTCAGACATAAGGTGGGTGACTGTTGCTGCTGCCGTTGGTGGTGCTGCTGCTGTTGTCGGTAGTGTGAGTGACTGGTCCCTTCACCTGCGCCCTGCACACATACTTCCGCGTCTCGAGATCAGGTGAGTCAAGGCCGTGTCTTGGATATCAGGTGAGTCAAGGCCGTGTCTTGGATATCAGGTGGGTAGCTGTTGCTTGTTGCTGCTGCTGTCGTCCATGCGTGTTCTCAACACCGACAGCAAGGCACACTCCTTCACCTGTGCACACATACTTCCGCGTCTCAGATATAAGGTGGGTGTCTGTTGCTGCTGTGTGTGTGTGTACTGCGGGTGGCTGTTAGTGCTATGTGCTGCAGGTTGTGGTCTGACTATTCCTCCCTAGCTTTGTTCCTTTCCATCTCCCGTCTTCCTCCCACCCCCCTTCCCCCCCCCCCTCTCTCCCCTCCCCCTTTCTTTCCTCCTCTTCCGCGAGGTTCGCATAGAGGGGTTGGATACGCGGTAATATTTTCATTTTCAAGGCGCCTCAAGAATCTTTTCCACCTCTCCCCCCACCCCGCGTGTAGTGAGGTGTATTTTGAGGCGCCTCAAAATACATCTCACTACATCTGGATACGCAGTAATTTTTTCATTTTCTAGGCGCCTCAACATTCTTTTCCACCTCTCCCCCCACCCCGCCTCTCCCCTCCGCGGCAGTGAGGTGCGCATACGAGGGCTGGGGACGTTGAACCATCTCGAGGGCTGGGGACGTTGAACTATCTCGAGGGCTGGGGACGTTGAACTATCTCGAGGGCTGGGGACGTTGAACTATCTCGACGCACTCCAAGTATCGTTTTTCCACTCTTCTCCTCCCCCCTTTTTCTTGGCAGCGAGGTGCACATACGAGGGCTGGAGGCGTTGGATTATTTCGACAACCTGGATGCTCTCAAGAGAGTCACGGACCAAGGCGACTCCATCGACTATTGTGTCGCCTCAATCGTTGTCTCACCGCCTCCCATGCTGACCTCCCTTTCGTCTCCCCTCTTCCTCCCCCTCTGCTCCCCCTCCGACCCCTCTCTGCGCCCTCTCCGCTCCCCTCCGCTTCTCCCCCCCCCTCCTCTTCTGCCTCTCCCCTCTGTGGCAGCGAGGTGCGCATAGAAGGGTTGGAGACGTTGGATTATTTCGACAACCTGGATGCTCTCAAGAGAGTCACGGACCAAGGGGACTCGATCACATTCGACTCGGAGGTGAGAGATGCAAGACACTGTTACAAAAGGCATTCACAATACCCTCAGAGGTACTTGTCACCTAAGGGCAGTGAGGGTGGAAGGGGGCAGTGGGAGAGGCACTGGAAGCCACTAAGGGACCAAGGTGGCTCCATCACATTCGACTTGTAGGAGAGTTGGTTCCATGGGCAAGGAGAAGAGTTGGTTCCATGGGCAATGAGAAGAGTTGGTTCCATGGGCAATGAGAAGAGTTGGTTCCATGGGCAATGAGAAGAGTTGGTTCCATGGGCAATGAGAAGAGTTGGTTCCATGGGCAATGAGAAGAGTTGGTTCCATGGGCAATGAGAATAGTTGGTTTCATAGCCGACTTGGAGGAGAGTTGGTTCCATGGGCAATGAGAATGGAAGGGCGGTGCGAGAGAGGCAGCAGCTCGAGGCAGGTTGGATGCTCTCTACAGGACGTGTGTTACATTTTTCCTTTTCCACGGTCCGAACTGCCCGCCGTCCGGACAAAAGGCTGTGTGGCAGCACGAAAGTCTGTGTGGCATGAAAGATTGCATCATAAAGACTGCGACTCAAGGCCGTGTGTCTAAATGTACCTGATCTTGACTCTCCGTGCTTCTCACATTCGCCACTTCCTTGTGTGATTTTGTCTATGCAGTTTGACAGAATATACTTGAATACTCCTGCAAAGGTTGCTATAGTGGATCACGCAATAAAGAAGACATACCTCGTCAAGAAGGACGGGTTCCTTGATGCAGGTAACGACTTTTGCACCGATAAGTCGCTCCGCCTGTTTTTTTTTAGGGTTGTCAAGAACACCTCGAGGCGCCTCAACAGGGAGAAGAGTTCCTCGGTGCAGGTAACAAAGTTTGTTGCGCTTCAAAAGAATGGCGGAATTTTTTATGCAGGTAAGAACTTTTGCAGGGTGTATTTTATCATTCTTGAAAACTCCGTGATGCGCCTTGAGAAAGGGTGGATTGTGCGGTGCAAGTAACTCCTAATTCTATTTGAATCATTCCATTGCCGTCCTATCCACCATGAAATACAATCTAGTGGATCCTGCGATACGAAGTATGTGCATTTTTCAGGAGATTCGGTTCCTTCCATGACGCAGGTCTTATCTTGTAAAAAAACTTCAGTCGTAGCTAGAAGGGCAGCAGTGCTTGAAGTCAGTCTTTGAGGCGCCTCAAAAATCGGTTCCTTCTATGGCACAGGTCTCACCTTATAAAAGCTTGTGCGTGTGGTGTGTTGATGATGCTCCACTCTCGTCGTATCCCCCCTGCTCTCCTCCTCACCCCTCCTTTTGGTCCCCAATCCTCCTCGCCCAATCCATGGTTGTGTGGAAGTGCAACCCCAACAAGGGGGAGCATGAGCGAGGGGGAGCATGAGCGAGGGGGAGCATGAGCGAGGGGGAGCATGAGCGAGGGGGAGCATGAGCGAGGGGGAGCATGAGCGAGGGGGAGGGAGAGTACTTTGTGGGCGTGGACTGCTCCTCATCCTCCATGCTCCTTTCCCATAACCCCCCTTGCATCCGTTTTTCACAGTCGTGTGGAACCCCTGGGAGAAGAAGGCACGGGCAATGAGCGACATGGGAGAGGGAGAGTACAAGCGGTTTGTGTGTGTGTGTCACACTCTCTCTCTCTCCTCTTCTTCCGCTTCCCCAACCCCCATGCATATCCATTCACAGTGGTATGGAATCCGTGGGAGAAGAAGGCAAGGGCCATGAGCGACATGGGAGAGGGAGAGTACAAGCGATTCGTGTGTGTGGAGGCAGCAGCAATCGAGAAGCCGGTGCAGCTGAAGCCGGGGGAGGAGTGGCGAGCCGGTCAAGAGCTGTCAGTGGTGCCTTCGTCGTACCACAGTGGACAGTTGGACCCTACCGTGGTTACAAGGGGTTATTAGGGGTTGTTGGTTGTAGCACTGGGTTAAGAGGAAGAGGTAGAGAGGCAGCAGTGATTGAGAAGCCGGTGCAGCTGAAGCCAGGGGAGGAGTGGCGCGCTGGGCAAGATCTGTCAGTTGTGCCTTCGTCGTACCACAGCGGACAGTTGGACCCGACCGTGGTTACACGGGGTACTAGCGGTCAAAGCCGGTGCAATTGGAACCTACTGTGGTCACAAGGGGTTATCAAGGGTTGGTGTTGGTAACACTGGGTTTCGAGGGAGAGAGTGAGAGGCAGCTGTTGAAGCCGATGGAAGTGAAACCAGGGGAGGTGTGGCGAGCAGGGCAAGAGCTGTCTGTCATGCCTTGGTCGTATCATAGTGGCCAGTTGAACACCACTCCACTGTTGTCACAACGAGATTTATGGGATTTATGGGGATTACTGTTGAATAGAAAAGCTGGTGCAGCTGAAGGTGGGGGAGGAGGTGCAGATGGGTTAAAGCTCGCGGCCCAAATTGCGGGTTGATTGACAGTTGTTTTGCAGGTGCTGGTTTTGCGAATTGAGGTTACGGGTTGTGCGAAGGAAGTTGATTGGCTAGTCAATTTGAAACACTGAGCTGATTGGCTAGCAAAATTGAAACAGTGTTTGCGGAGGGGGTTGGGTGGGAAACTGGCAAGGATAGTATTTTTGCAATATGGGACTCATGCAACCAAACGCGAAGTGGCCCCTGGGGTCTACTGAGTCAGCGAACTGTGTTTGAGATTGGCGAGAAGTTGGGCGAAACCAAAGCCCTCAACACACCCAACACCTCGACTTTCCAACCCTGCTCCCTCACCTCCCAACATGCAACTTTAGTAAACTTGTACAATTTGGGCCGCGAGCTTTAAGGGGTTGTTAGTGGGATGGGAAACTTGTGTAAAATGTTTGTGTAAGTTTACCATGATATTACCACGTCTACTCAGCTCAGATGCATCGCGTACAACCATAGAAACCTAGGGTACACCCACCACTTCGCATCCTGCGGGATCGCTTTCAAACGTGGGTGAGCCACGCAGCACCTGGAGAAAACCGCACCCCAACCTCCAATGCTACTTCTGACAAGTTTTGGGCACTGACCAATCAACATCGCTGACTGCCATCACCCATCGCCTTCTATGCCCAAGTCGTCGCAGATCGCCGGTTTTAGGGGAATAACTGTACTCCGTCTGGCAGTAGAAGACCGTTCTTCACCATTCTGTAACGTATAGAACCGTGCTAGCCAGGCCACCTCAGAACTAATTTCGGGAAGATCGGAAACCAGGAACAAGCACGCATACCTTGAATGGCTCGACTGGCATATACTGCCGTAGGCTATGGCTAGAGTCGCCATCAGCATGGGCCGCTAAGATGAGTTATCAGCGAGTCGCCTTTTTTCTGCATTTACAACTTTCAAGGATCGCAGCAGTCTTCGTCGCGGTTCGTGCTTTAGAGAGACTCATGCTCTGAAATCGACAGAAGCGCACATAGATTCGAGGCGACAGATTAACTACCAATGGTAAAACGTCTGAGCGATATTACATAGAAAGTACAGTCGTCAACAGTCATTCACCATGCTAACTGCTGCAGAGCGTATGTCGAAAGTGGTGAACTGGCAGCAGGTAGCGATCGTGTCAGTAGTCCTGATCGCCACCGTTGTAATCACAAGCCAGTGCTGTAAGCCCCGACACCCGCGTCGCTGTTCCGGTTACATTTTCTAACAAATATTTTGGACGTGACCACATTCATAGTAGTGTTCCCATCACGTAAATCTTCGAGTAACCCCCATTGGCAATGGAGAGCAACACCCTACTAATTTTCGTTGGAATTATTTTGTAGCCTGACGTAGTACGAGCATTCTCATACCACATTTCGTCTCATCACGTCCTTGTACAAATCGGCTTTGCACCGTGCAGACACAGCTTCTTGGAATGACGGTCCAAGCCGACCAACTGACGACTGCACTAGCTCTTCCATTGACCAGCAAGACTCTAGAAAATCCTCGAGATTCCACATTCAGGACTACGGCCTCCAGGGACCCATTCCCTGGACGTACATCCGACCAACCGTCCGCGATGAATTTACTGTCAACGGCTCGATCAGGGCCGTTGAGTATTTCCATGGGACGGATATGGGTGACTCTGGAGCGAAGGCGGTCGTCTGGCCGACCGGGCAGATTGACCGGAAAAAGAGAATGGCGGAGGCGAGATCCCCTAGAGTTTCTAAGTACGGCGAGAATGCAACTCTATCTTTCTACGATGCATTGGATAAGTACCCAGTCGAACGGAAATCGGTGCTAGTGATAGGGAGTCAAACCCCTTGGCTTGAGGGAATTCTCTTGGCGTATAAAGCTGGATCGATCACGACTGTTGATTTCAACAGACCCGCTGCAGACTATCCCGGACTGAGGCTGTGGAATATTGCTGAGCTGGACGCCTCAGATGAGTCCTTTGACGTGGTAGCTTCGTATTCGTCGCTGGAGCACGATGGGCTGGGGAGATATGGCGATCCGCTAAACCCGGATGGAGATCGGCTGAGAATGATGAAGGTAAATTGCGCTGAGGTGCTTGGTTGTATGGGATCCAATTTCCATGGTATGTGTAACCTAACCATGCTTCCTAAAGATTTGCTCTCTGCTGAAATTTACTGAATCCTTGCCCAGTCCTTTACCCCTCCAAGGCATCTCTCACATCCTACTGCTTCCTCTTTAGCTGCCACGTCCCTCTGTCCCATTGCTGCTGCGCAGATCAGGGGCCTACTAAAGCCAGGAGGGCTCTTCTTCCTGGGGGTGCCAGTGGGGAACGACACGCTGGTGTTCAATGCACATCGGGTGTACGGTCCCATCCGCATGCCGCTGCTGCTCAATGGTTGGAAGCTGCTGGATGTGTTTGGGGTGTCCAGTCTCGAAGCAGCTTATAGGGAGAACCTGAATGCAACAATCTTACAGCCGGTCATGGTGTTGAGGTAGAGGTTTCTGAACGCAGCTATGCATATGGTTGCCATAGTAAACCAGACTTCCAGACGCAAAAGGGGAGTATCTTGCTCCTCAGTCTCTCCAAGGGCAACCACCAGGGCGCGACTATGATATTGGTCGATCAGATCTCCAGAAGAGATCCAGGGTATATTTTATCAAAGCAGCTGTTTTCCCAGAAATTAGGGTAGTTCTACGAAGTAAGCCTGTCTGTTAAGGCTTTGAAATCAATGTTTTTTTGTAAGGGTTTTTCTTAGAGCTGCCTCAGTGTAATCTCCACAGGCTACATACGTGTCAAATGTAATTCTATGCTTGTAGGCTACAGTGAGTAGCACAATAGGGAGTACAGTTGTTAGGGTTGCATATTTGTACTTCCACACTTCCTAGTTTCATTCATTCCGTTGCATTCCTATTCTGAGATGGTATCACGAGTAGGTTAGATCCTCGTTCGTTTTTTTTTTTTACGGTAACTAGCCTCCACGCCCTACGCGCCCTCCGTGCTCTCGCACCCTCCGCGCCCTCCGCGCCCTCCGCGCCCTCCGCGCCCTCCTCGCGCCTAGCCCGCGCCCTCCCGCGCCGTCCAGCCTGTCGCGCGCCCTCCTTAGACCTCCGCGCGCCCTCCCCCACCATTGCGCGCCCTCCAAAACCGTCGTGCGCCCTCCTTAGACCGCCGCGCGCCCTCCCTCATCGTCGCGCGCCCTCCTCAACCGTCGCGCGCCCTCCTTAGATCGTCGCGTGCCCTCCCCCCCGCCTGTCGCGCGCCCTCCTCCGTCAACGCTTCCCGCACACCAGCGTGCGCTTACCGCACACCTGCGTGCGCTTACCGCACACCTGCGTGCAATTACCGCATCACTCTGTGTGCGCTTCCCGCACACCTGCGTGCACTCCCCGCACACCTGCGTGCCCTTACCGCATCACTCTGTGTGCGCTTCCCGCACACCTGCGTGCGCTTCCTGCACACCTGCGTGCCCTTACCACACACCTGCGTGCACTTACCGCACACCTGCGTGCGCTTACCGCATCACTCTGTGCGCTTACTGCATCTCTCTCCCCTTCACCTGTGCACCGGTCCCACGCCATTCCTACTGCACTTGGCTCCCGGCTCAGCGGCTGGCAGCCGCTCTTCCCTCTGGTAGCGCCACCTAGGTTCGGTTAGAGCCCCGCCCCACGACTATTTTCTCGCCGACTGTCTCTCGTCGTTTTCCCCGCTGGCGTCCCTAGCCCTCCGTAGTTTTCCTCCTCGTTCTTAGCTTCGCCTCCGCCGTGCTCCAGTCGCCTCTAGCATGGGCTCCGCTATGGAGGCTCGTCGCCTCCGTTTCGATGCTGAGGGACGCCCGATCGAGTTCGGTACCTGGCAGCGCCAGACCACACGTTTCCTCACCAGCCAGCGTCAGGACGGCGCCACTCTGTGGGCCCACGCGTCGGGTGCTCTCGCGGCACCCCCGTCCCTCGCCGCCCTGCCGACCGCCCCGGAGCCCACTCCTACAGCCCAGGCGGACTACGTCCGTCGGGTCCTGGCTCGGGACGTGTGGCTCTCTCGTGACGCGGCCGCCGCCCTGACGCTATCGGAGCCTCTCCCCCCGACTGAGGCCGCTCACTTTGACCAGGTGGAGACAGCCAAGGGGGTTTGGGATGCTATTGTGGCTCGCTATTCCACCCCCTCCTCCGCCTCCCTCAGTCGCCTCCTTATGCCGTTCGTGTTTCCCGACCTAGGCTCGTTTGCGACTGTTTCCGACCTAGTGACTCACCTCCGCTCGCTTGACGCCGGTTTTCGTTCAGCCTGTACCGACGCACAGCTCCTTGTTGTTCCCCCCCCCATGTGGCTCACTGTGCACTGGTTAGTCACCCGCCTCCCTGACCGCCTTGCCACTGCCCGCGACGCGCTTCTTCAGAAGCACCCCACTGAGCTCACTATAGACCTCCTTCAGACTGCTCTCAGGACCATCGAGAGCAGCCTCCTCACCGTTGCCTCCGCCACTGATGCGGTGGCCCCCCGTCTCTTTGCGGGGTGTGCCGCCCCTCAGCTTCCCACTTTCACCTCTACCTGCGCTTCTGCGGCTGTGTCGGTCTCTGAGGACACCGCTGCCGTTTCTGCCGCAGACTGGCAGAAACGGGGCAAGAGTGGCAAGAAGGGCGGGAAGGGGGAAGGTGGGGGCGGTGGAGGTGGCGGTGGAGGTGGGAGCGGCGGTGGTGGCGGAGGCGGCGGCGGAGGCGGCGGCGGTGGTGCGCCAGGGGGAGGGGGCCTTGGAGGAGGTGCAGGACAGACAGGCCCACCCCCAGGTGGTGGCCCGACCGGTGGGGGCGTTGTCCCCCAGCAGCAGCAGCCACAGCAGCACCAGCCACAGCAGGGACAGCAGCAGCAGCAGGGACAGCAGCAGCAGCAGGAGGCACCGCAGCAGTTCCAGCAGTGGGGGCCCCCGCTGCAGTGGGGTCCGCAGCAGCACTGGGGTCCTCCGCCGCAGTGGGGTCCGGGAGGCCCTGGGAGCACCGGCCGCAGCAGCAGCTCTTCCAGCTGGGCCCCTCGCCCCCCTCGCCGTGACGCTGGCCCCTGCACCCACTGGTGCCTCACCGGGCCGGGCAGCCCCTGTCTCTGTGGTCGCGATGACCACTCTGCCGCGCGGTGCTTCCGCCGCCTCGACGACCTCTACCGGGCTCGTTGGGGCCCTCTGGCGGTCACGCCTCGCTTGTCTCGCCTGTTAGCCCGTAAGATTGATGTCTTTGATCTGTCCATGGACGATGCGCGTCAGCATGCTTTGTATGTTGATGCTGACTCTAGTGCTGATGGGTCTGTGTGCTCGCGTGTTCGTAGGTTAGCCTGCTTGCCTCCTGCTAGTGTAGCCTTGTGCCTGTCTAGCTTAGGTGCTTGTGTTGCTGCTCTAGGTGCTTGTGTAGCAACTGGGTCAGGTGACCCTCCGGCTGAGGCCTCTCTGTCGTTCACGCTGGACTCGGGCGCGTCTCAGTGCTTCTTCCGCGACCACACGACCCTTACGCCACTCCTCACCCCTGTGTCGGTGGCTCTGGCTGATCCTACCTCTGGACCAGCCGTTGCGCGTAGCTCCACCACCCTCCCGTGCCCTGTGGTCCCCTCTGGTGTCCTGCGCGGCCTCCACATCCCCTCGTTCACTCGGAACTTGGTGGGTGTTGGATACCTCCAGGACACGGGGATCACGGTTACCTTCGTGGGGGGTGGGCGGACTGCAGTCTGTACTGACGCTACCACAGGTGCTGTTCTGGCCACTTTCACCAGGGAGCCCCGCTCCGGTCTCTACGTTCTCCACACCGAGCGCTCCCCGGTCGCGTCCTCCCCTCAGGTCGCTGCGTCGCCTCCGGCCCAGGTCCCCAGTCTAGTTGCTGTGTCTAGCCAGGTAGTCGTGTCTAGTCCGGTCGCTGTGTCCAGTCCAGTCGCTGCGTCTTGCTCCTATCGCTCTCTTGCCCACCGCACCGTCCTGTGGCACCACCGCCTTGGCCACCCGTCGATCCCTCGCCTTCGTGGCATGCTCAGTCAGGGACTTGTCACAGGTCTCCCACGCACCTTCCCGTCGCTCCCTCTCTCGCTTGCCCCTCCTTGCTCTCCGTGCGTCGCCGGTCGCTTACGCGCCACTCCCCACTCCTCCTCCCTTCGTCCGGCCACCGCTCCCCTCGAGACTCTCCACTTAGACGTCTGGGGCCCTGCCCCGACGCAGGGGTCTGGGAGAGAGCGTTACTTTCTGGTGGTCGTCGACAACTACTCCAGGTACACCACCGTATTCCCTCTTGCGAAGAAGTCCGAGGTGACTGCTACGCTGATCAGGTGGCTTCTAGCCACTGAGGGCACTCGTGGTCGTCAAGTCAGTTGTCTTCACTCCGACCGTGGGGGCGAGTTTCGCTCCGGCATTCTCGGCGGATTCTGCGGCGAACAGGGCATCACCCAGTCCTGGACGCTGCCAGAGTCCCCACAGCAGAATGGGGTTGCTGAGCGCCGCATAGGCTTGGTCATGGACATCGCCTGCACGTCCATGATCCATGCCCGTGCGCCCCATTTTCTGTGGCCTCACGCGGTTCGCTACGCCGCACACTAGCTGAACCTCCAGCCGCGTGTCTCACGGCCCGAGGCTTCACCGACCAGTCTTTGGACTGGTTCCCCTGGTGTTGGGTCGGCCTTTCGAGTCTGGGGCTGCCTTGCACTTGTTCGCGACACCTCCGCGGACAAGCTCTCGGCACGCGCCGTCTCCTGTGTCTTCCTTGGTTTCCCAGTGGACTCTGCCGACTGGTCCTTTTACCACCCGCCCCTCCACCAGTTCCTAGACTCCCGTGACGTCCGGTTTGACGAGTCTGTGTCCTACTACACCCGATACCCCTGTCGAGGTCTCCCGGTATTCCCTCCCCCCCTGTTCCTAGCACCCTCTCCTCCTCCTGCTCCTGCTCCTCCGGTACCCCCGCCCCCCCCTACTCCTGCCCCGTCTGGTGTGTCTCACGCTACCCCTCTACCCTCGGTCGCGCGTCAGGTAGCGTCTCCCTCCCCGCAGTCCTCCTCACAGTCCCCTCAGCAGCCTTCGACACTTCCGCGACAGGTTACTGTGGACTCGGTTGGTGTTGGAGTTGGAGGTGCAGCCGCTGGCGGTGCTCGGTCTGGGGGTGCTCGGTCGCGGGGTGCTGGAGTTGGAGGTGCTGGCGCAGGTGGCGCTGGCTCTGGGGGTGCTGGAGCTGGAGGTGCTGGCACTAGAGGTGCTAGTTCTGGGGGTGCTGGAGTTGGCGGTGCTGGCACTGGCGGTGCTAGTTCTGGGGGTGCTGAAGTTGGAGGTTCTGGCACTGGAGGTGCTCGTTCTGGGGGTGCTGAGTCTTAGGAGACTGACGCTGGAGACCCTGGTTCTGCAGAGTCCACTCTGCCTCCCCACCGCCACGACACGCGTCTCCAGGCTGCCCGTCGGCGTGAGTGTGAGGAGCAGGAGCGGTTGGAGAGGGAGCGGCAGGAGCTGCGGGTGCTGGACCTTCTGGAGCAGCAGCGCCAGCAGCAGCAG